CTATTAGGAACATCCTTGGTTAATGCATATATTTTCTACAAAAAGGTAACCAAGGGTGTCTGTAAAAGGTCTTTACAAAAACATACCACATATTCCTTAGACCAAAATAAGTCGATTTAAGTAAAATTACCTTAGTACAAAGTTGCTTCGTTTGGGCTCCAGAGGGCCTTGAAGTTACAATTTTTAAATCGATTTTCCCATATAAATTTAAAACTGCATATGCGATTTTGCTGAAATTTGGTATATTGGTAGAGTTTTATGTGGCAAAAAAAATGGTATTAAAATTTTGTCCGATAATAATACATAGGCGTAGAACATGATTTTTTAAATAATTGCACCTTTAAAAATTCTACGCCAATGGAAGAAAAGGAGTTTGAGTATGAAATTTAGATTGCGCAACTCATTTACTTTAAAAAGGTACTCTTGATAAGACTCGATTACTCTCATGGTTTTGACGAAATTTGCATTTTAGTAATTTTAGAACATAAACAATAATTATTAAAATACAAACTTTGTCAAAACCATGAGAGTAAATCGAGTGTTATCAAGGGTACTTTTTTGTAGTAAATGAGTACCCAATCCAAATTTCATACTCAAACCCCTTTTTTGCCATTGGCGTAGAATTTTTAAAGGTGCAATTATTTAAAAAATCAAGTTCTACGCCTATGTATTATTATCGGACAAAATTTTATACGATGAAAAACATTTTGAGGAATATTAATTATTTGCCTGCAATACGTATACAAAAACATTTATTGTTAGTTTCCATAGTTTCATCTAAATAAAAATATTGTCAAGTTTTAACACCTAATCTCTTGTTAACGATTGAAAGTGTTATCTGACTCAATAATTAAAAAAACAAATGCGTGGTTTATTAATATGGCTGTACAATATACCAATGCAGAATATACCGATATGTTACTGACATTAGGATTTTGTGAAGGAAATGCTCGAGAGAGTGTCAGGGTGTACTCTGAAAGGTTTCCAAATCGTCGTGTAACTAGCCACCCAACTTTTGCTGCTGTTGAGAGACGTCTTATGGAGACCGGTTCCTTTGCTCCCAACACTGATGATAATGGAAGAGAACGTTTTGTAAGAATTCCTGAAGTTGAAGAAGACATTTTAGAACGTGTTGAAGAAGATCCAGAATTAAGCACCAGACGAACTGGAAGGGAACTAGGAGTAAGTAAAGATGTTGTTCATAAAGTGCTTAGAGAACAATTGCTATATCCATACCATAAGAAGCCAGTACAAGAATTATTAGTCCATGATCCTCAAATTCGTTTGGGTTTTTGTCAATTTGTTAATATGCAAAGAGAAAGAGATCCAAACTTTGTCAAGAAGGTTCTCTTTACCGATGAAGCGGGTTTTACAAGAATACCCATAATGAACATTTTTATGCCATTGAAAATCCGCATGAAATAAAGGTAAACCATTTTCAGCACGAATTCAAAATTAATGTGTGGGCTGGAATAATTGGTAATTTCATTGTTGGTCCTGTCATACTTCCACGAAGATTAACTGGAGAAAATTATTTGGATTTTCTACAAAATACGTTGCCAGAATTGTTGGAAGATTTACCTCTCCAACTTCGGAGAAATATGTGGTTTATGCAAGATGGAGCTCCACCACATTTTTCTTTAAACGTTAGAAACCACTTGAATGAACAATATCCACACAAATGGATAGGCAGAGGTAATGACGCACCTGTAAACTGGCCACCACGTTCCCCAGACCTAACACCGATGGATTACTTTTTATGGGGACATCTGAAATCCACAGTTTACAGGCAACCTATAGAAAATGAGGAACAACTCTGGCAACGTATTCAAGATGCAATAAACAATCTTAGAGGTGATGAAGAAGTTATGTAAAGGATACATTTTAATTTTCTTCGACGTATAAATCTTTGTATGCTTGAAAATGGTGAACATTTTGAACAATTTTTGTAAAATCTTTTTTTTTATTTAAAATTTATGGCCTTGGCATTGCCAATTAGCCAGACTAATTTACATTGTTTGGATACAAACAATTACAAATCCACAATCCACTGTTAGTATTTGTTAGTCGTTCGTTTCTGAATCTCTATTTTGATTATGTTGTAAATAAATATTTTTGTACCTATACACTCTAAATTATTAAAACAGAAATTTAGCGAAAACCATGAGAGTAATCGAGTATTATCAAGAGTACCTTTTTTAAAGTAAATGAGTTGCGCAATCTAAATTTCATACTCAAACTCCTTTTCTTCCATTGGCGTAGAATTTTAAAGGTGCAATTATTTAAAAAATCAAGTTCTACGCCTATGTATTATTATCGGACAACATTTTAATACCATTTTTTTGCCACATGAAACTCTACCAATATACCAAATGTCAGCAAAATCGCATATGCCGTTTTAAATTTATATGGGAAAAACGATTTAAAAATTGTAACTTCAAGGCCCTCTGGAGCCCTAACGAAGCAACTTTGTACTAAGGTAATTTTACTTAAATCGACTTATTTTTGTCTAAGGAATATGTGGTATGTTTTTGTAAAGACCTTTTACATGTCTATCACTGGGTTCAAGGAGCAAATAATTGAGAGTATTGAACGCAGAACCAGCTAAAACCGAACAGCACGTTTTAGTAGAGGAAGTTCCATCTAAAGATCGCCGTAGAGAAAATAAACAACGATGAAGGGCGGAAAAAGCACAGTTGCAGGCACCAAAGTCAAGATTTCGCTGCCTAGAATGCTCCAAATTTTACTGCTTATCATGTTTCTTTGATATTCATAAATGTCAAAAATTATAATAATACTAACATATTTTTATCTTTTTCTGTACCTATTTAATGTAGTAATAAAGTCATTTTTTTATAACACTTCTATTTTGTAGCCTATTCACAACACCGAACTAAATGCTACAGGCTCAATTTTTTTTTTAGGACCCCAGGCCTTACATTTTGATATCCCATATGCCATACGTGACACAAACAGCGGTTCACAGAGCCTAAAACTAGTAGAAGTAATGAAGCCCATATGTTGTGTCACATGGCCCGAGTTGCCATTAAGTTGGAAACCAAATGTCGGGTCACATGGCGATTAACGTTTTAATGTGGAATTTAGTTTTCCCTTGCATAAATTAAGTAATAATCAATGAGGTGTCATAGGCATATTGTACTAAAAATTTCATTAACAACTTCTGGTAGTTCATTTACATATAGTATATAAAGAACCGAATATGGAACCCTGTGGCTCACCTTTCTTTATAGATTTAGTATCTGATTTAACTAGACTATTGCTATGATCAAAATATGTGACACATTGTTGTCTATTGAGTAAATATGATTTCATAAGAGGCAGTGGTACCCCTATGATTCCCATTAACTTCAGTTTCCTACATATAATGTTGTGATCAACACTATCAAAGGCTTTAGATAGGTCCAGACATAGTGACGACGTGTTTTGAATTTTATTTAATGATTCAGTAATTGTTTTCAGAGCTTGATATATAGCACGCATTGTGCCTTTTCCCTTTCTGAAGCCACTTTGACAGTTTGATAAAACTTCATTACTTTCTAAGAAGGTTTCAGTTCTACTAAATATGATTGGTTCTTTTTTGTTTATGTTTAGAAAGTAAGGAAAATGGCCTGCAATTTTTAACATCATATTTTTCACCTTTTTTATATATTGCCTGCACATAAGCTAGTTTTAATTTTTCTGGGAAGACACCAGTACAGAAACAAAGTATAATAATATATTTAAAGGATACGCAATTTGGCATGCAGCTTCTTTGAATAGGACCACTGGCACTTCATCAAAACCTACAGATTTTTTATTGTTCTTATTATCTCCCTAGGTGATGTCAAACTGAAGGTACAAGTTTCATTGGTTGTTATTATATTGTCATAGTTTATTACTTCATCTTCTGCAATGTCAGGACAGGTAGTAATAAAAAATTGATTTATTATGTTCAGGATATTTAAGATATCTGTTGATGCCAAAGCTGCATCTTTCCTACTAATATTTTCTAGAAAGGAGTTTTGTCTTGAATTATTTTTTGTTATTTCTTTGGCTTTGCTTTTATTATCAGATTTTCGAATGAACTTCCCAAGACATTTTGGTGGCCTCTTTCTGCTCGATAGTTTAGACAACATTGATATCTGTTAGTCTACTTTTTTTGTGGTTCAATTTTTATTATTTTTGGGATATCGTGGAAGTACTTGGTGCGAAGATTGTTTTCTCCGTTTTGAGTCCTTTGGAGCATTTTTGCTCTTAGTTGCCTGTACTCTTCTATCTGTGTTCTTGTTTTATCGAAACCTAGTGCTATTTTTTTGATATATTATGTTTTTTTAAGTTCCTTAGCTTTGTAGAACACTTTTTTTTACTTCATCACCTAATGTTAATGCCACCTTCAATGGTCTAGGTCTATCGTTATTTTTTTCCTCAAAAAGCCTGGTGGTTGTTGAAGAGAAGTGTCTAGAGACAGTCAGACTCTCAACTCGTCAAAGTTCTGTTGGTTAATAAGGTCGCTGAGGGGTTGTAGTTTGTAGTGGCTTGCACCCATTTCATGTCGTCTTCATATTTGCATTGAATCGCCTGCATCAAATACCCTTTCATAAATTTCTATTACGTGGAATTCCTGAAGACAAAAGATTTAGCTCATTTTGTTGGAAATCTTAGATGTCAAGTATCAGATATTTATATTTATTAATGAGAATATGAATATAGTTTTACCCCATTTACAACCTTTATTTACGATGGACACCTTAAACAACATAGGATCATGCAGCGTTGTCTCCAGATGCCCCCATTTTTTAAAGTGGTCATTTGACAGGCTTCTACCACTCTGATGGTAAATGTCCGGGTGAAGCTATACTATCTGCCCGCTCCACGGGTTATAATATCACTCTTATTTATTCTTCTATATTCTGCAGCAAATCTTCTACTAATATAGAAAAGAAAAAACAAAGCTATGAACCTTATTGGTTTTCATTTAAACTTATACATTTCTTTTGTAGAGGATTGAACAGAGGTGCAGAACAGAACAAGAACTCCGTCAAAGGATTGAGCAATTAGAGAAAAGGCAAACTCAAGATGATGCTATGCTCAATGTTGTAAATCGTTACTGGAATCAACTAAATGAAGACATTAGAATTTTGCTACAGAGGTTCGATGCTGAAACTGCAGATGAATCAGAAACTAAGAGTATGCATTTTTCTACATTGTTTTTTAAGTACCTGCATTCTAAAATTGTGAACATAACTTTTTTTTTCTAGATGAAAATGAAGCTACAACATCATTTTTGATGCAACTCTCAACTTGGGATAAGGACGAGTTAAATGACAAGCTGGCCAATAGAGTTCAAGTATCCAGAAGAGCTGTAGCCAAAGTAATTCAAGCTTTTGATAGGTTAATGCAAAGAAATGAGAAAATTACTCTGGCTTTGAAGGGAGAATTAGAAGGGCGTAAGTTTATAATAAATACCAATTTCAAGAACTATTTTATGAGTGGATTATTTTACAGAGGATGCGTTAACAATCGATGAAGCTATACGCCAAACAAACATTCAACTTCAAGCTGAAAATCGCAATCTTCAAGCTCTTCATACCACTTTACACGAGAAATACCACTCATTAAGTCTTAAAGTTTCCGAACTTCAAGATTCTGTCACGGCAAGAGATACTGAAAATGCTGAATTAAAAAACCAAATTGACGATTTGCAGTAAGTTTAGAGTAAAAAAAAATATATTTTATTTCTTGCACCCATAATTTATAAAATCCGTATACTGTTTCTTCTTCTAAACTGTTAAAATAATTTTGTCTCTGTAGTTTTTCTTTGGATAAAATCCAATGTCTGATATTAGACAAAGGGAGGAAAATGGTCACACACGCCTTTAATATTTTCTTATTTTTCTACATCTTGATCACACTTGAGTTTGAAACGTTTTTCCCATTTTCTTAATATCGAGATTAAATTAGTGGTAATTGGTTCATATTCATCTGTCTTTATTTAGATACGAACTCGAAAAAGTTCGCAACCGCAATGACAAATTAGAAACCCATCTTGCTGAGGCTGTCGAAAAACTGAAAGCTTACCATCAACTCCACGGTGATACTGATAACAGCATAAGTGAGAAAGAAGAGAAACCAGCACCTCAAACGAACGTTCCTCAAGCCAAATTGGAGGATCTGATGAAAGAGGTGGAAGAATGGAAAGAGTTGGCTAACAATAGATTGCAAGAGTTGGATAAGCTGCACCAGACTCATAGGGAGACTCTGAAGGAGGTTGAGAAACTGAAAATGGATGTAAGTTACAAAATCGTGTTATTATTTTGTAAAATATGAAGTATGATTCAATAATGAGGTTTTATTACTTCGGTAGGCTTCTTGGTCATTTTGACTTTAAGGAAACATAAATAGTTAGAGGGCGATAAATCAGGAGAATATGGTGGCCAAGGACAGACTAATATATTTTTTTAAGTATATAATAAGTTAAAAAACTTTAATTAATGTATATTACTTTTTATTTTATAGTATTGCACTATTTTGTTGGACATTGCTGCTGATAGTATTCAATTTGATTACATTTCCATGTCAACTCGAAAATTTAACAAATCCTTGAAAAATCTTCTAATGAATATCCATAATTCTTTTGAGAAGTTCTGTAACAGAAGTTAAATAAATATAAAATATATAGGGAGCTAGGTATCCATGTTTCTTTATTAAATACCATTTTGTATTTTAATATTATTATTTTTTTAAATTTTGTGTTGTTCTTTCAGTATTTTAAATATTTTCTGAAGTGCTATGAATATGTTTGTATAAAAATAATGATTAAATATATCTCTAAAAGTTTACATTTAAACTACAAAAACATGAAGTGCACATTGTAAACGTTTCTTTAAAAATTAAGGTAGATTAATGAAAGGTGGATTTTTAATTTTAAATTATCATTTTTTAAAATTAAAATATTACCTCTTTGAATTGTGACAACCTCCCAAAAATTTTAAATTAGAAAGGGATCGTGCAACACATCATTCGAAAGGGATACAAATAATTTGGAATTTTTTTTTTGTATCTTTGTAAACTCAGTTCAGGTTTTTTCTTTGATAAATTATTGGTATTACAGAGAAGTTAAAAAATAGACTGTTAATATTAAAAATCGTGTTTATTTATAAAAAGAATACAATTCAGAATTATTTAATCTTACCTGCTAAAATACTTGTTATTGGAATAATATGATATCAAAAATTCAAGCAAATTGACAGAGAACCATTTTACATAAGATAGTAAGTCGGTTCTTATCTTATAAAGAAAATAAATATTTCTACTTACATTTTTTTAGGACATACTCTGTACAAAATAGTTTGATTTTGTGGTTTTAGATACGTCAATTGCCCGAAAGTGTCATTGTTGAAACCACTGAATACAAATGTCTCCAATCACAATTTTCAGTCCTCTACAATGAATCCATGCAACTAAAAACTCAACTGGATGAAGCTCGACAACAACTACAGACGAGCAAAAATGCTCATTTGAGGAATATCGAGATGATGGAGGTTAGTAATTATTTGTTTTCTGGGTAAATCACAGTCAATTACTATTCATTTTTTGTTTATTTATATCATCCCCTAAAATGTACTCCCTTTACTTAAATTGTACATATCAAACGGTTTATTAAGCTTAATTCATAACCGCCATAACGTAACTTAAGAACTTAACGTAAGAAGTTGAAATATTGAATTTATGTATACTTATTTATAAATGTTCGTAACGTAACTTAACATACCACTTAACAACTTAAGACCCTACGGTCAGCCAATGAGATAATTCTGAGTTCAGCATGTGAAAATTTTCAATTCTTCTTTTTATTTTATTTTTATAAATGAATGGATAAATACCATTTGTAAACTATCATTCTCCTTTTTTATGGACATACATTATAATGCATGTTTTGTGTTTATGTTATTAGGGATTAAAATATAGGGATAAATTATAGTGAACAAGGCTTCAAGATTTTTCTATAAGCACTCTATTTTTAACTCCAACTACCCCAAAGGAAATAACAGAAATTATACAGAAAACAGAAAAATCAGCCGGTATAGATGAAATAGATGGAACAATATTGTCTTTTATTGCTGAAGATATTGGTTTACCTATGTCCTACCTTATAAACGAGTCTTTTTTATGTGGTGACTATCCTAGTATATTAAAAAAATCAAAATCCATTCCTATATATAAAAATAAAGGGTCTGTAAATGACATGGCTAACTATAGGAACATCTGCATTCAAAGTCAACTGGCTAAAGTATTCGAAATGGCCTATAATAACAGGTTCAATAAATTTCTAGAACAATAGACTTTTAAGTAAATTTCAACATGGTTTCCGCAGAAATAAGTCAACATCTAGTGTTATAGGGGAGTTATGCGATTTTATTTACCCATCTTTAAATAACAAGAAATTAAATATTACCTTACACTTCGACCTCTCTCGAGCCTTTGACTCAATTGACCATCGACTGCTAGTAGATAAATTGTAACGAATAGGTATAAGGGGCCTGCCAAATAAGTGGATAGTCATATTTAACACCTTAACGACCGCTGTCGTAAAGCCAAATCTGGCCCCACGGACCGGCAACTTTTTATTTGAAATACCAGTTAAAAAACTTAATAAAACATTGTTTCATATTTGCAATTTTTTTCTTTAATTCCAAATATTGTTTTTGGGCGTGCAATATCTGGATAACACGCGGTCCGAGCGCTTGATTTCAAATACTGGGACCGCTTGCTAACTGCAGAAATAGTATTTTTAATACAAATCCCGATGCACGTCAGAGATCATTTATGACGTCACAGCCTTGCAGTGTTGCCTAATCGTCAGAATAGTTGAGGAATTTAGAATTTTTTAAATTGTAAGGTTATGTATTTGTTATGTTACTAGTAGGAACAATTAGTTTTAAATGTATATAACTAATGGAAAATATTGAATTCCTTTATGAATAATAAACATCTGAACAAAAAAGCTTTAAACATATTATGCAAGTCATGGAAAATAAAACTGTAAGGTAGTATATTGCAGATGGATCAAAATTGGTTTAGAATTAGCACAGAAAATATCTAAAACTAATTTAATTTCACCAAGAAAGTTATTTAACAGAACTACATTTAAGTTATAAACCACAACACCCCATAAAATTAAAGAGGTCATTGAAAAAATGAAAACTACAAAGGCATGTGGAGGATTCATAATATCAGTAGATACCTATACTAGAATTAAAGTTTGAAATTGCTAAAATATTTGAATACAAGAAGGAAATTGTTAAAATATTTGAGTAGGTGCTTTAGTAAATCTCACTTTCAGTAACGGTTCTGTAGCTCAAGTGTTCAAGATAGCCAGAAATGCTTCAAAAATAAACGGATATCGCTACTTCTTTTCAACTCTAAAGTTATCGAAACATGTATGAACAATAGATTCATCACTCAAACATCAAGATTCTCCATTCTACCAGTTTCAAAAGACATTTGAAAAATGTTATTCTGTCAAATATTTTTTTTATATTTTGGAATAAATTAAATAAAAATACAGATATATAAGAAATATATCAAACTGTTTATTGTTTTAAAAATTAGAAAATATTTTTTTTAAATACACTATTTTCTCATAAAAAAACAATTATTCATCTACTAATCTTCATTATTCCTATTAAAATTCTTTTATTTCTCCTAATCCAGATCGCAAGTATTTGAATCGCAGTCATCGATATCGCTATTAGGGTTAATTATAATAAAAATAATTTCCAATCTATTAAAAACTCCCTCTCTGCCAATATGTTTATTATAATATTGCTTAGAAAGGTCACAAATAAGTTCAATGGGGTTAAAAATACAATGGTAGGGAAGATTACATAATACTTTGTCTATATTGTTCTGCTTAGGTAATTATCTACCATATATTTCTTTGGCGGTTTGCACCTGAAAAAAGAATGTTTTATTTATTTCTATTTAGTTGCTATTTCGTATAACGTGTGTCAATATCGCTATATTCTAAATTGTAATATCGAAACAACACATTATATCAATGATTTAATGTTAGGTACACCGTTATATCAAATCTTGTAACTTCATTTTTAATTTTTTGATATTGCTTTAAAGTTTATTTCTGAAAAAAAAAGGCATTTTTGGGTTTCACTGTACATCTTGAAAATGTGTAAAACATGTAGATGTTTATTGACCACTGTAATCAAAATTTTCCAATTAAATTGTCTTTATATGATTGCTAGTGTAGCGTATCTACCATTAAATCTTCAATATGATGTGTCATTTCAATATTAATAAATTTTTTTACTTGATTTACACAATTACTGATACCTTAATTTACTTCAAATTTGGTGTTTTATCTCTTGCCATCGATTTTTGTAGGTCTAACACCCTTTGTCATTATTCCCAGGAGCTGTTTAATGTTTCATTTTGAACGATACATGTTTCATCAATGACAACGAACTGCTTCTGTTGTAATTCTATAATTTCTTAAAAACTGACCTATTTACAGTTCACGTCTTGGTTATCTTTTTTCCTTAATTCTTTTAATACAGTTGACAATGATGCAATATAGCCATTAAACATTTGTCTCTCAATCAACTTTTCTCTTAAAGGTTCCAAAGTTATATGTTGACCTGCAAATAAGTATGTATTTATATTACTGTATACAAATTAAAACTTTTATAGGTAATATAAATAAATTATGATTGAATAAATAGATTTGTCTTTATACTTACTTGTTTCATACATATTATAAATATCACTTCGGATTCCACTTGTATCCAGTGTTATTGTATTAGTAGGTAATCCTTTGTTTATATGAATGCTTTTTAATTAGCGATTTGAATCATTCATTATTCTTGACTGCTTGCCAAATACTACTGACAGTAGAAATATTTTTATTTAGAGGTGCTGCAACACACTAAAAAAGACAAGAAAATAATTTCATATTTCTATTAAATTTTATAACTTGTAACTTACCTCTCTTACAGCAGTTAAAGGTAAACGTGGTCCATCATTATCACGCTCTCATTCAAAATAATGGATTAAAGAAGCTATCAACTCCTTACAAGGACTATTTAGTTTTTTAGGCATTTTGTATAAAAAAATTAAACGACAAATAATCAGCTTATTCACTCTATGGTTGTTTTGAAAAACAGTTTTTTATAAGTATAACTGGCAAAGCTTAAAAATACAGGCAAAAGGATTTTAAATTACAGAAAACAAAATGCACAATCAATAATTAACTCAACATAAACATAACCTAACTAAATCAGTGAAATTTTTTAAAAAGGGGTTGCAACACCGCAACAAGATGTACCAATTGCTGTAATGACATTCCTTCTCTAGAAATACGAGCTTCATGGGCGTACAGAATGTCAAAATTATTTAATGTAAAGTATTATTTTTTGAGTACTAAACATTTAATAAGGTTTTTATAAATTTTATATTATCAAGAATTAGACATGTATAAACTAAATAATTTAAATAGTTCTTAAAATTATCAAAATAATCACCATAACAGTTTTCGACTTTTTAGTAATATGACTACGTTCATGAATGCTCGTGACTATACGTGACTTTTTCGGATTATTAGCTTAGTTAGGGACATTTTATTTAGTTGGTAGTACTATGACGAATGACCGACGTCATTGCTGACGTGCATCGGGATTTGTATTAAAAATACTATAGCTCATTATCTTGAGCACTCACACTCGCCAAATAGGAAAGATCAAGAACAAACGGGCAAATAAAGTAGAAAAACCCCAAGTCATCATGGACTATATTAAATTTAAATACTACATTGGCATGTCGTATTAAATGAAAGCCTACCAAAATCAGGTTTGGTTCAGCAATGGTAAATTTTTTCATAGTATATAAAGATTTTACATAAAATAAAATATTGATCACGAAGTTCAAAGAACTATTAGCCACGGCTTTAGTCACCATTGAGCCAATTGATAACCAGAAGAAAAAGATAAGAACACAGTTTGAGAACTACAGTAAAAAACCATTGGTACATTGCTACATTAGAACCAAAACTCTGCATGGACAGTTTGCAGCTCAGTAATGTGCGAGATCAAAGTAGGAGTATGGAGTTTGCAAAAAATATTATTGTTTAGATTGTTTTTTTCATGTCATTCAGCCAAACAATTAAAATAACGTTTTCCTATAAGAGTATTTGCATTCATTTATGAAATAATGTATTTTTTTCTAAATATTTTTCTATATTTAAAGAACATGTAGATAACTATACAGCTAGTGAAAAATCACATCACGAGATAAATAACATCTCAATTTTTTTGGTGTGCCCCACGCTGAACCCGCTATTATCGACGAGTCACCAGGATCGCTAACTACAGCAATCTATATATTTAGCATTGGTAACGTGCGTCCTGTCGATATCAAAGCAGTGAAAATAGCAATATCATGAGTGCTATCTGAAGTTAACACGCGGTCCTAGGGAAAAATGAAAGTGTGCTAACTATAGTTAGCACGTGGTCGTTAAGGTGTTAAACAA